ATTATATTGTAATCTAATTCACATAATATGTCACTGCATTGAGTATGTAATGCACTTACAGGACATAGAAAATATGAAACAGCATGAGGATTATGTTATTGTGCCTAAACATTCAAATATTAAATATTGTGCATTATTATTATTATTATTATTATTATTATTATTTTTGTTGTTGTAGTTATTATATTATTAATGTTATCGTTACTCTTTGTGGTAGTATAGCTTTATAACTATTTTAATATGTGATTGTTGTTATATTATTTTTTCCTTTGGTTTCCGTAGGACTTAAATCAACACAATTTAAAACCTGTCCTCAAATGCATCAGGTGAGTTTGTCTCTGTATGTGTTTTCATTATGTTATTGCATTGATAAAACATAGTGCAAGCATCAGTCGTGAATATGAGTGGGGTTGATTTATTATTGTATATGCCACATTTTAAGGAATTCCACGGAAACACTAAGTTATACCATGTTTAAATAAGGCTCTCCTAGATAAGGATTTTTATAATCTTTATCTAATTGTAATTGGCCTCAATTTTTCTCATGGTGATGGAGTGGTTAGGCAGGGTTTATTAAACCAAGAGTCCCTATGTGTTATGTATAGGCTATTCAAAGGCATTCATTAATAGATCACTATTGACAATGTCATTGCAATATAACACCATGGTTTACTGGTTGTGTTACCAATATCAACCCACATGTTCCTATTTTCTCGTATACTTTGCAGCCTGCTTATGTTTTTTTGCCAATTTAATATCTAAAAATATTTGAATTTTACAAATATATCAAAAAATATGCATAGGCTATGGAAATATATTATTATTGCTCTTATAATTATAATGATATATTATTATTATATATTACTATTCTTATCCTTATTATATGCAAATGCACAGTAAACACCATGCCTGTCACACTGAGCAGTCATCCTGTAATGGCTGCCACTGCTCATTGTTCACATCCTGCTTTGTCTTCAGCGCCATTTTGACTGTGGGGGGAGGAGCAGCTAGTTAGCAACACACACAAACTACACTCTATCTCTCTTAACCATGTAACCATGCTAATTCAAGGTTTGCTCTATATTTACCCTTCTATCTTAATAGAGGAGGATAATTAGCAATACAAGCTACAGTTAGCTTCACTAAAGTAGCTAGTTCATGTTAGCTCTGGGCCTCCTCAAAGACTATATTGTAGCATCTCTGCTGCTCTGACATGGTGGAAGCTAGGCCATGCTATGCTAACCATAGGCTCCAGCTCCGAGGCAGAGGGCTACCAATGTAATGCTAAGCTAACTGTGAAGGAGGGAAACAATTGTGTGTGTGTGGAAACAATCGCTGTGGCCTCGGACTGTTTCTCCTCTTTTTATCTGCTCTGGAAATATCTCGCTCTTAAGGGTTATCTCTGTGTAAACAACCATATCTGGGCCATGCCAGGCTATATCAGGCTATATGTTTATGTTGTAGCCTAAAGGGTGGGAAAACAAGATGGAACATTTAAACTGGAAACTAGAATCATGACACAACATTAAAATAGGATATCAGACGATCAAAAAAAATAAAAATAACACAGCCTCATGACATAGCCTTAAGCCTTATCTTAACAATTAGAATAAAAGAACAATCTGGTTTAAAACTAGGCTACCTCTTATGGAACAAAATATAGGCCTATGGCTATTTAAACAGATTCAAAATGTCCAATTTGGCAAAATATTGTAAAACTATGAACAATAAACATTAGCATAATAATAATAATAGGCTAATAGTTCTACTGATGCCTCATTTTGTTTGTATTTACGATAGGCTATTAAAAAATTCACTGTAGCAGCTAGTATTATCGTTCACTTCATACAAAAATATATTTAGGCTACTGCATGCCGTATATATTTTCACACAATTTGTAGGTGTTATTAGGCACTCCGTTAATTAATTTAGCCAAAACAAAGACATCGTAAATGTTTGTGTGTTTTTATTATTATTATTCCACTATGAAAATATATGTACAATAAATAATTTGGATTTTCACTATAATCTCAATAAATAAACGGGTCTAAAACTCGGGTCATCAGCAGGGCTTCTCTGGAGTTGAGATTGTGTAAAAGCAGTCCAGCTTTCTGCATCGAACAGTTCCTGAGAAGTTATTTAGAATCCATGAAGCCTGCACCAAAATGCACGAGGAAAAATCCACACAAACGGAAAAGGGCTAATCATTTGAACAAAAACGAGGCAATAAATAGGCTACCTGAAGAATGGACAAGAAAAAAAACGTTTCGATGGTGGAAAAATGCAAATGTTCCTTCGATGTTTTAAAAATGTAATTAGGCCTATCTCTATATTATAGCCGCAAAATAACACCAGCAAAAAGACGAACCAATATTTTGAAAATAACATAAATTAATTCAGAAATGTTTCAGGAATGTTGCCTCGAAGCATTAATGGTTTTTTAAACAGCCGTCGCCTCCGCTCGATTGTTCACCCGTCCCTCCTCTTTTATTAGTCTTCTTTATTCTCTCAGAAGTTTGAGGTTGTGCAGATCTATGGTGCACAGTGTGCTTGTGAATAAATCGAAGTCCTCCTCGGAGAAATCCACCGGGCTATCCAGGGAGCTCTGCAGGCTGGGAGACAGGCAGGAGTCCACGGCGAAGAAGGTGAGGTCGGGGAGCGAGGAGGTGGATTGAGGACGCGTCAGCAGGAGCAGAGGAATCCCGCTGCTCGGAGAAGGACGGATCGGGTGCTGCGGGCCCGGCCTCGCTGAGCTGCATCAGACCCGGGATATCGGCGGAGTTCTGAGGCGCAGGAGTGGAGTCAGAGGAGCAGATGCCCCTGGAAGCGGTGGGCGTTCAGGGCGGCTCAATCGGCCTCCCTCCTCCCGGCGTGGGTTGTGTATTATCCCCGCTGTCATTCGCGTAGGCGGCCGAAGATGGATTGCAGCTCCCCGCCCTCTCCGTCCGACGTCGCCTCCCCGGTGCCAAGATGCTTCCAGCGGCTGGCTCGAGTACGGAGAGGAGGCATCGGCGCCTTCGAGCGGCTCAAACCCGCCCGGGTCGATGGATTCATGCCCCCCTCCGTCCCGGTGGTGCGTAGTCTGGCGCTTGTGTTTCATGCGCCGGTCTGGAACCAAACTTTCACCTGTCGCTCGGTCAGGTCCAACAGCGCGGCGATCTCCACCCTCCTGGGCCGGCATAGGTACTTGTTAAAGTGGAACTCCTTCTCCAGTTCCAGCAGCTGGGTGTTGGTGTAGGCGGTGCGCAGCCGTCGGGACCCGGCTCCACCATCCAGACCCGCATGGCTCGGGTCTGCAGAGACAAATACAAATAAAACGAGAGCAAAATAATATTGGGGATTTATGTGTAAAATCTTTTGCCTTTTTTATTTTATAGTTCGTTTAAACTTCAAATTGTAATCTATTTCATGAGAGCTGTAAAACCTCTGCAATTTTATTGCGTGCGAGATTTCCAACCAAGAAATAAGCTGCTTCAGCATCGAGCAGAAATCCCCTCGGCTCTTCTGTCTGTAATAAAACAGTAATAAAACACAAACACTCTCGTAAAAATACTCCTTCGATTACAGTAGCAGCCAAAGCCATAACTTAGAGCGGGCCAATTTGTTGATGGTAAAAAAATAATAATATAGTAAAAAGGCAGATAAAGGCAGATGATAATGGTAAAACTGCATGGTTTTCTCTTCTGTAAAGTCTGGCGTGAGAGGCTGCAGTATGAGATCAGAGAATCGAAAGAGAAGAAAATAAATAAATCATGGGGAAATGCAGGGAGATGTAGGAATGTCGATGTGACACCAAACATAACTTAAACCATAGCTTTGTGAATGAGGCAGAAAAGGCAGGAAATTGGGCGAGAAAGGAACACGAGACCTGGTGGGATTTTATGTGTGTGGAGGAAAAAAAGTACAGTGATTGTAATGGAGGGCAGTGAAAAAGACAGAAATGGCCTAAACCCAAGACAATCTGATTGTGTGCAGTCTGTATCCTGTGTGCATGTAGCTACCTCCCCCAACCCCCACCCCATCGTATTCTGTTGCTCTGCCTCGCCATTATATTCCCTACCTCCATCCAATATGGCTACCCCCTCAGTTGTGTTATGAATATATAATGCCATGGCGACGCTGCTGAAGCCCCCACCATGCACCCAACAACAGAATCTGCAGAATGGATGAAAAAAACCGCATCTGTACGTCTTTACGCACAATAAAGAAGTGTATAGGCAGAACAACGATTGGAAGTGTAAGCTTTAGATGGTGCATAATTAAAATAATGCAGACCTGTGCCTGGTTTGCACTCTTAAAACGTAATTCTGAATGCTAAACAAAAACAATGACCAATATATTTGGAACATCGCGTTAAATGGTGCATGTGTACATGCATGATGAAGACTATAGAGCAAAGCTCTGCAGCATAATGCAGGGGTGTCGATTTGGCTTCCCTGTTGACACAGCATCACAGCACAGCACTGCACTGCACAATACACACACACACACACACACACACACACACAAACACACACACACACACTGGAAAAAGACAATGTCATCTAACCAAATCCTTGCTGTGTGTAATGAATGGTAAGTTATAGAGTGGATGTGAAATGAAGATGAACACAAAAATAAAGCACAAGCTGCATATCACACTCCCATCACACTCCCATCACACACACACACACACACACACGCACACACACACACACACAGCCGCTCCCAGCATACCGACCTGTGGGTGACTCGATGCCCGCCGAAGCGTACCCGGAGGCGGTCGGCGACGGGGAGGAAGAGGCAGGGGGGATGATGGATATGCCACCACTGGAGCTGCTCCCAGGCTTGGGGGGCTTCTTGGACGACTTCTTCTCCTTCATCCAGGGGAACTCGTGGGCCAGCGGTCCGGCCAGGATGGCGGTGGCCGGGGCAGGGGCCTGGCCGGGCGGGCAGGGCTGCTGGCCGGCTCGGTGCTGCGTCTGGAGGCCATTAGTGACGGAGGTCCTCCGGTTCTGCTGGCTCCTAGCAGTCGGTCTCGGCTGGCTGGCTGTGCAGGGGCTGAGGCTGGGGATGGTGTGCTCAAAGGGAGGCGGAATTACTGTCGAGTCCTTGATTGATGAAGTTTGAAATGACTCCAGGACGGCGGGGAAGGACGTCAGGCACTCTGCTAGGGACGGCTGGCTGTTTATAAAACCGATCTCCCTCTCAAATTCAAAATTCATTGCTCCCTCAAACCGGCTTCTACCTCAAACGGCGAGACCCCCGAAACAATCCCTTCCCCAAAATAAAAAAAAACATACACACATGCAAGCACGCCCGCACACGCTCACAACACAATATGGCTTTGTAAAAAAATAAATGAAAAAAAAAAACCACGAGCGTGTAAGGGTCCCGACCGCAATGGCGTAAATGCGGTGGCTATTTAATAATTGTATATTGGTGATATTACTAGCGTATGGGGACCTGGGTAGGCTAAACTGAAGATCTATGGGGCGAAATTGCAGCCAATTCCTGGTCACGTGACCGAATACAACCAATCAGGAGCCCGGGCCTGACGGCAGTGATGGCTGTGGGAAGCAGCATTATTATTTTCTGTGGCAGAGAGGGGCTATATCGTAGATAGCTGCTATTGTTTAGTCCTCACGGGGGGTAAAGTCCAGGGAGAAAAAACGTGAAGGCGGCTGGTCGCCATGTGCGCTGTGTGGGCGGCGGGTCGGCGCATCCAGGCCCCGCGTTACGCACAAACAATAGCGCATCCCCCGGACACATTTCGGTCCTCTGGGTGATGTAATGACTGTTAACATTAGGCTGGCCACCACCGTTTACAATATGGCTCCCATAGAAAAAAAACTACTGTTTACACCACACAGATCATTAATCTTATAAAGTGTGACAGAGGCTGAAAATCCTCAATTTAGAACGTTTGGGAGGGTTTTAGATGGTGCAGCCGCTCAGGAGGAGAGGATGGAGAAGATTTCTGCAGATTCTAGGAGAGAAACATTTAAATTTAACTGGGGAGGGAGGCAGCCTGTTGGTGTAAGTGAACATTTACATTTCTTAATAGACCTATTTGTGATGTAATGGCTTTCCCTAAGTGTGCGTATATGCTTAAAATAGTAAGCCTGTATGTTGTCTAAATAAAATCCACCTTGAATAGCCTCTGCTGCACACTACCAATGTTTTGCTAGCTTCTCTCACACTCTCTCCACAGTGTGATGCATGAGTGTTAAAATGTTCGCTGTGTTTACGCACAGAGAGTTCACAGCGAGGTCGCTCCTGCATGGAAGGAGGGGAAGAGGCCTCCTGTTCCTCTTAGTCAAAAAATAATAATACAGCAGAAATAATGTAAACGCTAATACTAAGTGAGAGTGTGCTGATGGGGTATTCAGACTCCACAGGACGCACATGTAGATTTTTATAAAGATCAGGGAGTTTGGAGGAGCGTATTTTTAGGGAGGTCCCGAGGAGCCCCGAGTGGGAAAAGAAGTGCGGTGATCAATCTTTCAGGCCCCGCAAAGAGGCTGACAGCGGCCCCTCTCTGTGCCTGCATAACAAGCAAACCTCTCTCTCCATTTCTCCCCTTTTAAATTCAGTATTCCATATTTTTACGCTGCTTTTCCGAAAAGTAAAATACGCTCGTATGTCATGGAGAAATAATGTATCTGTTGAGAAATAAACCAGAGACAAATGCACAAGTTATTTAGCTCACACAGTCGTTTCCTCTTTTTCCCATGCCATTTGGTTTGCCCTCTGACTCTGAGAAAGAGGTAACAGAAGCAGCAATGTGAGTGGGAGGGAAGTCATTGAGCAGCAGAAAGCAGCAGTGAGTAGGCCGAGGCGACATGAACACACCACACACTGCTGACCGAGCTCCTACACCACAATACACCACAGCAGCTGCTTTAATTATACCATTTCTTACTTTTTTATCCATTTTTTTCTTGTTGTAAAGTTCCAAGGAATTTATGGGACATTTTGCAGGAGAACAGATATTTGTTTCCGGGTGTGCTGGAATATGTTTTTACATTATTTTATTTATCAGTGGGCTCTTTTGTTTTGGAGATACTGAGGGTAAAACACGTATTTCTATTCCAGTTGAATTGTTATCTAATTTAAAATGTAACATTAATTATTGATATTTTTAATTAGTTCAAGTTCCGGGCAGAAATTGTAAATACAATTGTAAAATAATAGTAATAAATATGAAAAAGACAAATTAAAAGACAAAGATCTAATAGTTTCACTGTTATTGTTCTTACGATTATTGATGGTATTATTTATTTCAAAGAACTCCAAAACATTTGAATACTTGTATTTGTGTTTAATACTATAATAGGGCATTTGTGAAAAAGTTAAAGAAATATGTTCCTATGAGCTACAAAATAAGGTGTGCTCTTTATACCTTAAAATACATCTTAAAGGTATATATTTACCTAAAGTGTAGTCTAATCCACCTAAAGAGTGTGACCTTATTAGTTTTTAATTGTAACCTGGCTGGGAGTGTGTGTTCTGCAGTAATAGCTGCACTGAGCACTGCGTCTGCTTTTATGAGGCAATAAATTAGATCCAATCTCTGCTTATTGGTGTTTTTATTGTCTGTTAGTCCAACGGAGATGTAAAGGGAAGTACGGCCATTATTTATGGGAGCCTGATTTATGTCCCAAGTTTTATGCTGCTCTCAGGCCTCAGCACGAGCGCGTTCAAGAGATAGAGATGTGTGGGGGGGGGGGGGGGGGGGGGGGGGGACATGTGACCGGGCCGAGGCTTCAGGGCTTTCTTTAGACATAAACAGCAACACAAGACACAGAAACAAAAAGTTGAATGGGGTGAAAACATTGGGAGAGAGGAGTCTGATCTGTTTTTGCTCCCTGGCTTTACTCTGGTTATGTGGCCACACTTGGGGGTGGGGGGGTGTGTGACTTATTTTGATTCTCCTAAATAAGATTTCTCATGAAGAATAAGAGTAGAAAAAAAGACAACTGGGAAATAAAAAAAAGTTGATGGATGAAATTGGTGTAATTGCGCAATAGTGACAAACAGGGGACTAGTTGAATAGTCAAATAATAGCCTAAAAAGAATATCTGTGGTTGAAGAAAATAAAAACTAATACAAATAATGATAGAACCCCTTTTGGAAATATGAATAGTAGATTGTAGTTAACATGATGCTGGGGTGAATGACTAAGACATTAGAAATATATCAAGGAAATTGCCAACATATATGCATAATATATACAACACTCATACCATCTGCTGGTCTCAAAGGTAGCCTTACTTTAAAATAAAACTGAAACAAATGATCATCATTCAGGCCTCACTCACAGCCAAAACTCTTGCCCCATTTTGAGTCATTTATGTTTCACAGAAGTGGTAAGTTAACAGTATGTATTTGTCAATACCTGTAGTGCTAACTGTCAACAGATAGTCTGGTGTGAGTTGCCATGTGTTTGTCATATTAACCACAGAGATACACTATCAGCCTTCTGTCCAGATGACTGGAACTAGCACTTTGCTTGTTTACAAAGAAATACATTGGAATAACTCAACAGCATATCTCTCAACAGAAATCATGACCCTGTTACTCAAAACATTCCAGAGCTTGTTGTGAGCAATCTCATGTTGGACCTGTTTTCTTCATCGATATCTCTATGGTCATATCTCCAACATTCCCATCTTAACAATCCTGAGTAAAAAACATTAAACAGTCCCTTTGTGAAAACATATCTATTGAATCATTTCAAATCATCATGTATAGAGTCATTCTTCCGAAAGTGTATTTGTTTTGTAGAGAAATTGAGTCCTAAATGTTTTTTTCAGCATTTGTGACTTGTGAGAGATAAACATGATTCTTTAGATGCAATACTTTACAGTACTCGTCACTAAACTGTATAAGAATAGTTCTGACGGAGTTTGATTTTTTTCTGTAAAGATAGTTTGGAGGAATCAGCCAATCACAACAGAGCTAAAGTAAGAAGAGGACTCCAGCCACAGCAGGTTTTAGGTTTCAGTCCAGGAATAGTTGTTGGGTCCGAACTTAGACCTTCTCTGGATGCTATATCTTGGTGTTACTAATCAGTACGCTAAATGAACACCGGCCATAGCAGCACAATCGACAATTTGTGTACTCCTTTCTACTTTGTAAAGCATAAAGGAGACCAGAAGCAGATTTGTATTTCTCCTAAAGGTTGAGGTTTTTTTGTACTTCTGACATGTTATATGTCGCTCGAGGCTGTAGATGTTTTCTGACAGTGCTGCCATGCTTTAGCCTGCAGTACCATCTGATATTCAATCCTGCATCAGTGTCAGGTCATCAGCAGACACAAGCTGTTGGAAACAACGACACCAGATCCTCAACAGCACATCGAGGAAGCACATGGACCTGAGCCACATCATCTGATCAAATACACTCCGAAAACACATATTCTACTCAGCATATACCTTCACTGAAAAAACTCCAACTTGACTTTAATTGAATGTATTATGTCAACAGATTTCACACAACTGTATTAGTTTAGTTGAAAGCAATACTATTACGTTTAAATACACAATATTAGGTTCAACTTATTATTAGGGTTAGGGTTAGTTGTTGACATAATACATTTAATTAAAGTAAATATTTCAGTTTTGTTCATTATCTTAAGCAAATAGGAAAACATTTATATCAATTGGAAGAAATGTATATTTTGGCAACATTTGCTTGAAACCTAACCCACACTGTATTTGTATATTGTTCCTTAATATTTATAAAACTATTGTACCTTTTTCTGCCTGGGACCATGTACCATTTTGCCCTCAAAAAGGTATGCATCATTAACTTGAGGTCCAATATGGCCGGCAGACCTACACAAATCATATAACATCTAAAAGCAAGTCATTTGAATGTTGAAAAGATGTATAGGTGAAATATTGATGGTGACATTTATCCTTAAAAGGGTTAGTCTACACAGATAGCATATTAAGGCTTTATTATTCTCTATCACTGAGGCCAAAAAAGGCACAAAAAAATCACTACCCTCTAAAGATCAGCTATCTTTAGAGGGTAGTGATTTTTTTGTATTGGTCATGTAAAAATATGCACCACTACAGAACCTGACTTGAGTTCTGATAGCGCTGTTCAATAATTAGCATATTTAATAATGATGTTAGCCACAAAAATAGTGGTGCAGTAATGAGTCCTTACACCCGGGAATGAGTTAGCATTTTACCACTTCGTTATGAAGTCAATGTTTTTTTGTACGTGTTTTTGGTGACAAGGTCTGTGGTTAATACAACAAGATTTTAACATTTTGTTCTACGGCATAAAACACGTCGGTAATACCCCAGTGGTGAACGCACAAAGCTTCAGTGTGTCATACAAATGGCCGTTGCTAATAAGTGACTAAATAAGATAAACGCCAAGACGCCAAACATTAGTCGCCTTTTGCTAAGCGTGGTGATGTGCGCCCATGCGACCGTGTTGTAGTTTGTTTATAGCAGGGGGGTCAAACTCAAATACACAGTGGGCCAACATTTCAAAATGGGTACTAGTGGAGGGCCGTACTGGTTCAATGTTTATTGCAGAACTTATTGAAATGAACTTATTGCACATATTAAACCTGGAACTAACAAAGCTTCAATGATGGCCTATAAAAACAACATTAAACATTAAATAATCAGTTGCATTCATTTCTTATGGCTCTATCTGCAGCTTTTCAGACTCATTTCTTATGATTACATTTTCCCACAGGCCAACAACAGCTTCAACAAAACTATTTCCCTCAAAGAGAACCAAACATGCCCTGTTGTCCTGAGAGAGAAAGTGCAGAAGGAAACATGTAAACTCAGGTTGCTGCTCTGTGATGCTATCAGATACTTGGCATCTCATCTTGGGTGCAAGGTCATCAATGTTTGGGCTCAGGCTCTGAGCTGAGGAGACCCTCAGGATGGAGTGAAGGTGTGCGTGTAATATACCGAAGGGCCAGATCTAATAGGAATCAAAAATTATCCTGCGGACCGAAATTAAATCCACCACGGGCCTGATTTGGCCCCCGGGCCTTGAGTTTGACTCATGTGGTTTATAGCATTGTGTTAGCTTTTTATTTCAGCCGACTGCATTTAACCTTAAAATATCATAACGTGGCGTTAATATGTGGTGATTTAGTATTCAGAAGAATCATAAACGTGTCTTTGCCACAGAGCTTATTTTCTCTTCAATATCCTGAAATCAAATGGGGAAATCTCGTATGTTGGTTGTGGGAGCCCTTGAGATGCTAACTTCCTGTTTGGCCAACACGTCATCAACGCATCGCTCGTATTGTGTTCCTGACAGAAACACTGCCTAACCAATCAGTAATGCCCTTTCATTTCTTTAATGATTATTTACCACCACACCTGAGAATCATAGACAAACTGACGATAGCTCTGAATAACGTAACATTTTATTAAAGAATTGCTCGACAGACAACTCTCTCAACAGTGAAAGAAAAAGGAGCTACAAAGGACAAAAAAGAAGTTGTTTTTCTCCAAAAAGACTTTTTTCCAGCTAATAGTTTGTCTACATTTTTCCGACTAAGCTCGGATGAGTCACCAATCCTCACCGAGCCTGCTCCCTGTACAAGCCAAGACATGTATGTACAAGGGTCATTTTAGGAACATAAAAACTACCTATCTTCTTCTAAAATACAAGAACTAAAAAATGTAACTTCAGTACATCGGACAAGAAGAAACACAACATTTTTTTTCTTTCATAACAGGTAAATACTAAAAAAGTACAGTATTTTTTCTCGATATAAATACATGAAGGATAAATAATAATAATACAAAACAGAAAGTCTTTTTAAACTGGCTATAACAAATAAATATTTATATATGAATGTTCACTCGAACACACATTGGCGAAAGACGCTTTGATTGGAGGGCCTTCCGTCTTCAAAATAAGATTTTATTATTATTATCTTTTACCTTTTAACCATCAAAATGTCAACTCTAAGTGCAACAATGATGCCCAGATGTGGAAAGCATGTGTGTAGATCTGCACTTTAAAACCATACAGAGGGTTTATTTCTAGAAGAGCAGAGAGTGAAATAGGGGTCCAACACACACACTTTTCATGTGTGATGTGTGTTCCCCCCCACTGTCCTCACTGACAAATAAACCCAGTTGTTTTAAATATGTGTGAAATACATCAGCTCATATTTCTGGGACATGCATTTTTGTTCAAATATATACCCTGTATCCACGTTAAAAGTCAAGATATGTGAGAACAAAACAAAACAATATTATAAGGAGATAGAAAGAGAGAGATAGAGAAAGAGATGGAGAGACAGACAGAGGACAATGACGTAGCCAAACATAAATAAATATTGTTCTCCACTCTTATTATTTACCCTGTGTCGATGATGTGCTAAAATAAGAACACTAAAAATGTCTCTTCCGTGTCCTCTCATGTGTTTGTTCAAATATGTCAACAGCTGGCGTGACCCCGCTGTGGGTGTGTGACAACGAAAGGAAGCTAGCTTAGCGTTGCCGTGTGTGTGTGATTAGCTAAAGTAGCTTAGCACAGAAGTGTGTCTATGGGAGCTACTTTAGCTTCGTGTAGCTTCTTAAACCCTGTTAGATTGATGGAGGGGTGGTGAATTCATGTGTGGGTGTGTGTGTGGGGTGTGTGTGGTGTGTGTGTGGTGTGGGGGGGGGGGGGCGGTCTGTGGCGGGTTGTGGGATGTGTAGCCTTCAGAAGCCATGTGCTGCTGCCACAGACAGGAGAGTGTTAGTAGTGGATCGGAGAGAGGCGGGGACAGCAGGAGGAGAACGAGACGGAGAGGGGGAGAACATCCAGTGGTTTTTATGCTCTGTGGGACGAGGGAGACATATTTGTGCTCTCCCTCTCTCAGCTGATGGAGAGGACGGTTCTCCACATAGCTCAGCCCGGCTGACAACAACATGTGTAGCCTGGAGGGGGAGAGAGCCCGGCGTCATAAATCTAACCACCTCGTTAACTGCCCATTAAAAACTATTTCATTTAGCAGCCGGGAGTTTGTATATGTGTGTGTCTTAGGGGGAAGATTTCCTTATCATAGTACACATTTAAAACCCCATACTCCAAGCTCTAACAGCAGGCCAGCAATTTGCCCCACCCACACAAACACATCATACTTAGAGGTGTTCTTTCATATTAGATTTTTGGAGGTTTCTGACAAATATATTTATTTCTGAATCTCTAGTACTCAGTATATAGTTGTTTTGATTGACTGTGCAGATGATCAGTCTAACACTGACTAAACAATGGTGCTCACCATAAATCCTGTTGTGCTGTACAGCTGCCGATATGTCTCTGCTACACTAGCACAAGATGAGCTTCCTGACATGTATTGTCCCCGGGGGACGTGGGAGACTGTAAACCTCTTCTTCCACACCTCAAGTTTGCATCTTGTTGGTGGAATGCACTTATTGTAAGTCGCTTTGGATAAAAGCGTCAGCTAAATGTAATGTAATGTACAATATGCCTCACTGCCCTGGGACAGAGTGGAGTGTAACCCCCTCTAAAAAAAGGGTTCATGTGAGATGCTTAAACGTGGGTACAAAATCAAGAGTTCTAATGGAAAAATCACTGATAAAGTATACTTAAATATTAGGCAGTTTTAATGTGTAAGTTAAATGATTCATGGGTAAATCTGATAATGCTCGCTTTAATTCTTGAACATACGGAAGAAAATTAGGGCCACCTGTGAAAAAAAAAGTTGAATTCTTAGTTCTGAGAAAAGTCTGAATTCTGTCTTTAATCTCAGCACTTAAAATAATAAATTAAGATCTCAAAAATGTTGTCAACGTGGCACTCATCCTCTTTCGTATGAACATTCCTAATTTCCTGTCGGATAATGTAATGTTTCAGGAGCGGATCGTAAGTTTGGTTCCTGTTTGAAATATAAAGTGTTTTAGCCACTACCATTGATTCCTCTAATTCTGCACTGCAGTGATTTTAGTGTCTCTTTTGGAAAGGTCCCTTGCTGCGGCTTATTACAGGCACTACCTTTGTGTTTTTACAGTTAACTGCACTTTCAGAGTAACAGTGAAAGCCCTAATACTGGTCAGGCAGTGTAAACAGGGGGGGGGGGCTCTCTGAGGCTGTAGGGCACAGGACAAACCACTGGATGGCTCCTGTCTGTCTCCTTGTGGCCCCCCTGCTGCCCCCGTGCAGCAGCAGGTCCCCACATGTTAGTTAGTCTGTTAGTCTGTCGTCTTCACTACTTCCTACGTTGTCGTGTTGTTGCAAACCTGCTACAGGTGAGTGAGCTTGGGTGCTTCCTGGATTCTGCCCTGAGTCGAGGTGTGGTGTGCCGACAGCTCGGTGTACGTCTGGTGGGGGGGCGGGTCGCAGGGGCCCGGGGGGCCCCCTCCACCCACATGGTGCCCGTTGGCGCCCGACATGGGCCCCGCACCATTGTAGTCCATGTTTTGGTGGTGGGGTGGCGTGGGGCCGAGGTGGTTTAGCCCGTACATGGAGGGCGCCGAGCCAGGCATGGGTTCCACATAGCTGCCCCCCCCCACGTATACTGGACTGGCCTGCATGTTGTTGGGAGTTCCGTAGCCAGCGTTACTGGCCATGCCGTGGTGAGGGTGGGGGTCGCCGTAGTCCGGGTCTGGGGAGCCGTACTTATGCTGGGGGGGGCAGCCCTTCATGGGGACGTTGGAGTAGGCAGTGGACATGGAGTAGGACACTCCCTGGTGGGGTTTGCCGAAGGATGGCGGAGATGGGACGTCGTAGCCCGCCCCACCCCCTCCCATAGGGTGCATGGAGTTGAGGAAGCTGGCGGAGGACTGCATGGTCAGGGGGGGGGAGCCAGCGGGTGAGGGCCCTCCAGAACTGGAGCTGAGGCCCTTGGACTTCTGGTCCTTCTTGTATTTCATGCGTCGGTTCTGGAACCAGATCTTGATCTGCCGCTCGGACAGGTTCAGCAGGTTGGCCATCTCCACGCGGCGCGGCCGGCACAGGTACCGGTTGAAGTGGAACTCCTTCTCCAGCTCCACCAGCTGAGCGCTGGTGTAGGCCGTACGGGCCCGCTTAGACGAGGCTGAAGACCCGCTGGTGGGACTCTTCTCCCCACTGCTGCCACTCTCTGCTCCTCCTGATACTGAGGAGAGAAGAACAAGGGTCGAACAGAGAAAGGGCAAGTCAATATAAAATGGCATAATGATATTGATAAGATACAAGCAAAAATAAAAACAAGGGAGCACCAAAGGCCTTGGAAATGAAAAAAATGGAAATGGGTTAAATGTGCAAAAGAGTGGAAATGTGCAAAAAGCAGGATATAGTAAGAAACAGGTAAAGGGAAGATGAATAGAGCCTAAAGGAAGAGAGAATAAAGCCACTCAGGCTGCATGCTGGAGGAAATTGAAAGCATTCAGCTTCTTAATAAAGCAGAGGGGGGTCCAGGCTCTGGCTGAATTACCCCCTGATATTAGTTGTCAACACTTCATAACAGTGGCAGTTATTAAGAGACGGAGGGCCCGGCGCTGGCCGAGGGCAGCTAAATTGCATCTTGGCAGGAAAGACAAACCCCACAGCAGCAGCAGCAGCTGAAGACTGTGAGCTGATGTAGACCTGCACTCACTTCATCAGCAGCTGCAGTCACGCTCCTCACCACATGTATGTGATACTTATACTAACTACTAATACAGCTGGAAAATATTGAGATTTGCTCATACACTTCAACTGTTACCACTAAATACGTGTACATTAGTTTTCAAAATGCCAATGTATACATTCTTTTCAGAAGGAAACAATGTTGTTATTAAGGCCATTGAGTCTTTGTGTGTTAAGAGGAATACAACTAGATTAGATTTGGCTATCCGTCACAATCTATGGTTATCCTCAAATCTTTTCATTATTTCCGCAAAGAAATTATTCAAAAGAAATGTTTGCAAGTAATTTGGCAGCAAGTAACAAAAACGGGTTGTCCTGACGATTGTTAAGCCCCTTTCACACATGCCCTTTTACTCTAACAATGAGAAAAGATAGAAAATAATGTTGGCTCAAATAATTAACAAAAGAAGTTAGATCTTAAAGGTTTGCAAGAAGCCTGTATACAAAATGGAAAGGTTGAACTGCTGAGCTCTTGGAAGGAGCTACATTAGTACAAACAGGAACAAGCGTCACTGTTTGATCAGTCAGGTTGTGAAGAAGCTGCCTGTTGAACAGGATGATCTACGCTCTGTTGCTAGTCAGGTTCACGTGATGCAACAGTCCTGCCTGAAGGGGATGGTGTTCAGTTTTGGTTGAAATCTGAGAGCTGTTGATTCAACTGCTCGGCTATTTCGGAGGCTGCAGTTTGGTGCTGTGAGGGGTGCTTCTAATATTATCTCCAACCCCAAATATATCAATAAGGGTAGAGTAAATAAAACACCTTGAAGTATAATCAAATAAAACACAAACTACATCCTCCAACACCTTAATATAATAACTCCCATGAAATTAATTGTAGCTATTGCATACCTAACAAACAGGCACATATTGTTTATTTGGTGTGCAGCGGTAACTGGTACACTAGATGGTTAGGGTTAGGAAAGCCTATTGGTAAAAGGGTAGGAAGCACATAGAAAGAACATAATGATGAACATTGGAAGTGCAGCGTATAGATAGTGGAAGCGCAATATTAGGCATGTTAAGCGCATGCGAAGTAAAATTGCATGTTGAATAGTAAGAGCATCGGGAGAACAAGTTAAGCGAATGCTAAGGGCATAGGAAGTGTATGTGAAGCGCAAAGGAGCTAATATGAAGCAAAAGTGTTGGACACAGGAAGCTGTCTGATCAATAACCAGGATGGCCGAGTGGTTAAGGCGTTGGACTTAAGATCCAATGGGCATATGCCCTCGTGGGTTCAAACCCTACTACTGGTAAATATTTAAAACATTTGCAGCCAACCATTAAAGGGCCTCTGGCATCCGTTTCATAAAAAGATCCCAAATTGAGATCAATGAAATATATCTAATCTTCTCACAGTAATGTTGTGCAAAGGGAGCGAATACGAAGCACACATTAAGAGCATAAGAGGCTCAAAGGCAGAACCAGGGTTGTGTATCTCAGAACAAATCCATTCTAGCATAAACCATGTTTCAGAGTTGTCTAGCATGGTGTGATAATATTTGCAATGTTTATTTGACCAATGGCCATGAGCATCCATTTCAGCCCCCGTTTTGTTCACACGCCCAGAGCCCGACTGGTGCTGCCGCGGCTGCGTCATGACGTCACCGTTTACGTCGCTGATTTCTCCCCAACGGCGCCGGGTCGATGATCGTGTTGCTTTTAATCACACGAAGCCAGATTAGATGAAATAACTACTTCTCAACCTTATACTTTTCTCCAGAGTGCCGTGGTTCATTGTTTATTCATGTGTTTCAGCGGCATCTACCGACCGCTGCAGAGCTGCCCCGCTGTTTGGCAACAACGCTGTTATGAAAGTTTCTCTGGTATAAAATGGGTGATGTTAGCATAGCAACCGAAGCTAAACTGACTCTTGCTACTTGTTGCTATCCTATTGTGGCATAAACCGTTTTCTACAGGCACATTTTACCGGCGTATTTTCATTATGATTCTACTTGTGATAGTCGGACACGACAACCTGTGCTGTGCAGCCCATGTATTGATTCCATCCGATAGCTGCTATAATACAAAACAACACGTCTGCCTCTCTCCACAATGATCAATAACAGCGAACGGATGGTCAAAGTAAGGTACAAATAAACAGAATCACACGAAGCCTGGTTAGTGTTGCCTGACTTTATAAAGTGTGTGGTAACGTTCTAGTCACTTTGCTCAGCGCTACTGCTTGTTACAACTTTCATTTGCCGTACTCGCCATAAACTGTTAGCTCAGGTTGATCCCGCCCCTGCCCCCGACGTAAGCGTGACGTATGCGGTTCTTGCTTGTAGACCGACAATTTTTTGGTGCTTGGTAAGCACCGGTTTTCGGTGTTTAGAGCCGGCTCCGCTGCGGTGTGAACAGGAAAAACCGGTGCTTATCAGGCTCTAGCGCCGAACCGGCCCTGGAACCGTGTTGGTGTGAAAGGGGCATCACAGCCTAATCTCTTTCCCAGTCATCTGGAAGCTTTCTTAATACTCATATTCATTATGGCACAACATATTATTTTCTCATTGATAACTACCAATTCCAATAACGGATCTGTCTGTTTTCTTTTCCTGTTATCAGACATGATATTCAGATTTATCATGCTGTATTCTTCCCCATTGCTAATATCTTTAATTTCAAACATGCAAACATCATTCTTCCTCTCTCTGAAAAATCTATTCATCTGTTATCGTACATGACATTTAAATTCACTGTGTTAATATCTGTGGATTACCAAGAAGGTGCCAAAAGGAGATGACGAGGAGAGGGCAATCAGAAGGCAAGTGATAATAACCAGAGGGTGTAAGAGGTGATGAGGAAGGTAAATGATGAAGGAAGATGCACTGATCAGTTGTCATTGATTGTGTCTTTATCCAGTTCTGCTTTTTAGGTCCTTCTACGCAAGATTTGACTAATTACTGTCGGAACACCAGATCTATATCTCCTCCAATGACTTTGTTTATCCCAGATGCAACTTTCTCAAATGTTTCCTTTTTGTGCTCAGCAGCGCTGGTGGTTTTAAGGGGAGATTTATGTCAAAGTATGCATGGATGAAGAGCAGTGTATCCACGCGCTGTGTGTCTGTGCTGTATGCAGACCTCATTCAGTTTGTCACACCCATCACAGGTGTAGTAAAGGTCTCCATACAGGCATGATGGAACCAGCCTCATTATGATGATAAGCCTCAGGGAAATCTGCACCAGGCTTTTTCTTTGCCAATAAATTCTTCTATCATAATCATAATCATAATTGTGTGTTATTATTTGTTTTTAGAAGGTGAAGCGATGAAATAAAAAGGATACAAAGTGTTCATTGGTTGGTATCGGTGAAATGGAGAGGTGTTGCTAGGTGTGTTTCTTGGATTGAAAACCAGGCGAGCTGAATCCTTCTGTTTCCAGCCCCTCTGCCCTACATACAGTACAGTGGTCATTATGGATCTCCTATCAAACAAAGTGCTCGTTTTTGTAGGCAAATATTGGAAGAAAATATGTTGTTGGTACACAACATATACATTCAAATAAACTAACCATCCTCTTCCAAAAAATGAAATATGAATGAATATATAGTGTATATTTACTGTATTCTCTTGCTGATCACTTGTATACTGCCATGCCTCTGACCTACTTTACTGCTCACAACATGCAGGGGTTTTGACAGGTACTTTATTGATGTTTGAGTCATCAAAAGGCTCAGTTACATAACAAAGTGTGTAGCAGAATTGCAATGTTAGGTTAGAGCTTTTCAGCTTCCATTTGATCATACTTTCTCAGGGAGATGAAAAAAGCTTTACAGTGAATCCAGCTCACCAGTCACTTGTTCACCTTAAAGCCGGATTAGATGCTGAGGATGACCTTGGATCAGAGCAGACGCACTCCCCAGCTACTGATAACCAACATGACCAGTTGCCTGTGGAAACCTGTTTTGCTATAACAGCCTGAGAAACCTTTTTAAATCCTTGGGGATCTGTGGCTTGAAAGAGGATGTTGATAAGAGAGGTGAGGAAAGAGCGGGGGGGGTGATTGGAAGGCGAAGGCAGGATAATAGGAAAGAGGCGCTAATGAGGAAGGAAAATGAAATAGAAGGAGGAATAAGGAACCGAGGAAGGGGGAGATGAGGAAAGAGAGTTTGGGTGTAGGGGGGATTAGTATTCTGCATGTGGTTTCTGTGAGG